AAGGCAGGCAGTACAGGTGTGTTAATGAGCAGGTGACCACAGTGGTGACCTGGGACTCAGTCCTGCTGAGCACCGTGGAAAACTACAGAACACATGGCTCTGAGTCAGCCCCCAAGAGGCAAGAGGGAGCTGGAGTATTTGTACACCAACTCCCCAGATGCTCCAAGGGCATCAGTTCCCCGTCACTGACAGCCTGTCCTCCACAAAAGGGCAGAGCAAGCCTTAATGAGGCACTGGGGAGGTTTGGCTATATTGGGAGAGGCAGCTGGGCTTCTGTTAGTGTGGTCATCTGGGCAGCTCAGCTGTTCCAATAGGGAGCCACCATGTGCCTTCCAAGCTGTGAAGGAAGACTTTGTTACGTTTGTTCCCAGATTAGTTAAAATGCATTTGAGGTGCTTATGAGGGGTTTGGGGAGACCAGCAGGGTTTGTAGAAAGGGTGTTCCCATATACTGTTGGTAGAGGCATGAACGGGGAAGTAGCAGAAATGATGCTGTAAATGCAGCTGTCTCTTGAATTTGTCCCTTCTTTGCTAGGCCACAGAGACCACTGCCAACGTGCAAGCTGCAGTCATGGTGAAGCTGACTGTGCGTGGGGACAGGCCAGAGTGGACACTGCACAAGCAGGTAAGACATTACAAGAGCGCAAAAAGAAGCCATGTGGAGCGGGCTGGGAGGTGGCCGTGGGAATGCATTCTGTGGGAACGGGAATTCATTCATTCATTCATTCATTCATGTGTTCATGCGTTCATCATCCAATATATTTTTGAGCAACGACTCTGTGCTAGGCCCTGAGAATGCAGCCATGAATAAAACAAAGTCCCACTCTGTGACAGTTCCATGCCGGGGATCTTTGAGATGTGTTCTGAAGAATGACCCAACGGGTTGTGGTGACTGCCTGGGCACAAAGGATGAGCAAGAGGAGAGAACCAAGGGTGAACCAGTGTGTGTGTGTGTGTGAGAGTGTGTATGTGAACACTGCCAGCCATTCATTCAATGTCAAGAACTGCACTAGGTGTCAGGGATGATGATAACAATAATGATAATAACAGCAATAATAGTCATAATAGCTGACGTGCTGAACACCGTTATAAACCCTTTGCCTGAGTTATCTCATTTAATCATCTGAACAATTGCATAGATGGGAACTATTTTATACCCATTTTCAAGATGAGAAGATTGAGGCACATCAAATGTATGTAACTTGCCCACAATTGCCTAACTGGTAAATGATGGAGCCAGATGTGAGTCCAGACAATGTGGCTTGGCTGTCCTGAAAGGCTTAAAGTCAGGTGTCAGAGACAGATAGGAAAAGCAAGAAAGGAGGACAGCTTTGCATGCTTTGATGGAAAGATGCCCAAAGGAGTGCCATCCTTAGCAGCCTGGGCAGAAGGGAGGGCCAAGAGATCAGAAGAAATGTCCTGGAGGATATGACCCTTGATCAGAGTCCAGGAAGATGAGTAGATGCCAACAAAGTGAAGAAAAGGGGAGCGTATTCACCGGAGGGGAGGCTCCAGGGCTCAGCTGAGGCAGGTATGCGGGAGACCTGGGCAGGAGGCTACATGTTCTAGGGAAGGTGGACAAGGGGGTCCCCTGCCTGAGAGCTCAGCCTCTCCTCTGTGGCCCAGCCCTTCCAGTCTGCCCCCAGACCCACAAAACAAAACCTAGCTAAATCAAAGTCCCAAAGGATACTGGAGCCACCTTCGAGGGTTTGCGACCATCCCGTCTGAGAAGAGTCCTGATAAATGTGACTTCCTCACTCTCACCATAAAGCAGGCATCTGCTCATGCTCCTAGAAGATGGGCACCTGGGCGGCCACCCGCTGATTCCCCACGTCCATCTGCTCTGAGTCCAGGGAGCTGTTCTGTTGGCTGGAGAGACAGTGTTTATGGGAGATGAGGAATGAATCAACTGGTGAGGAGAGGCATCCCCCTGAACTACAAGGACCCTAAGAGGCGTTAGCAGGGCAGGAACACTCATCAGTTGCAGCCAGAGAGCTTACAAAATCACTGGAATTGGCGAGCATGTGAGGAGTTTTAGAAACCGCCACTCAAACTTCCTCAGTGTGTCCATCGATCTGAGACGACAGTTTGGCAGTCAGATAACACCTTCTAGCAGAGCAAGTCCAAGCCCGTGGCCCCAGGCACATTAGGTGAATCCATATAAACTTGAGGCTAAGCATTCTGTCCAAGGTTGAGCAGGAAGCCTTTGTGATAGCTGGCAGTTACTGTCCCTTCCACTTTCAATCTCAGCATCTAAACCAACTGTCAGCGGGATGTGGAAAGCTGGCTGCCAGGAAGAACAGACTTTTTTAACAAGATAAATGTGCTAGAGAAGTCCACCCACAGATGCATGTCTCTTAGCAAGAAACTCAATGGTCCATGTTTCCCATGAAGGATCCACGCAGGCAGTGAAACAGAAACAATGAATGAGAGCTGGGTGGACCTTGGTGGCTGACTTTGGGGCTTCTAAGAGACAGAATGGGAGCCCCGGAGCGGTAGTGTAAGGGGAATGAAGACAATGAGCTGATCCTGGGTTTCAGGAGTTTCCCTTCACAGTGGGATTTTCAAAGAATTGGCAGCAACCAGGTAGAAATATAGAATCTGACCTCAAAATAGGGACCTGGAACGAAGGCAAATATATGGAGGTCGCCTCCATGGAAGCATCGAACATGGCCAAATTCTTAGCAGCTATGAGTGTAGGATAGGGATTCTTAATTCATGTCCCATGCCAGGGGGCATGATTTAGGGATCTATAACCCCCCTAAGGTCATATGCAGCATTTTATATAAATGTTACTCAACACGAAAACCGAATTTTTGATTGAGACAGATTTCAGAGTGAGGTTTAGAGAAGAAGGCAGACCTCCTTACAATAGGCGAAGACACAGAAACAGCTCCCCAGTGGTGAGAGAATAAAATGGTCAGGGGTTGGAAAGCAGAGGGGAAGTGTTGAGGGAGGTGGTCCGACTCTCTCCAGAGCCATGAGCAGTGGCTGACTCACACTTCCAACCGGGCAGCCAAAAGACACCGAGCTGAGGTGGGAGCGCCACCAGGAGGGTCCTGCACTAGGCCAAGGGAAACCAGAGGATGCCCGGGCTGAGGAGAGGGCAAACGAGCAGCTGGAAGAAAGAAACACTGTGCTGTTATGACAGGCAGAATGACATCCCCAACGATGTCCCTGTCCTGACCCCTGGTACTTGTGAATAGGCTGCCTTAAAGGGGAAAGGGGACTTTGCAGATGTGAGTAAGTTGAGGATCTTGAGATGGGAAGATTATCCTCAGTTGTCTGAGTCGGTCAGACGTAATCACAAGGGTCCTTGCGAGAGAGAGGTGGAGGCAGGGAGAGGTTGCAAGACGCTCTGCTGCTTTGAAGAGGGAAGAAGGGGCCATGGGCCACGCAACACAGGTGGCCTCCAGAAGCAGAGAAAGGCAAGGAAAGGGGTCTTCCCCTGTGCCTCCAGAAGGAAGGCAGCCCTGACAACGCCTTGAATTGGGGGCTTCTGATCTCCAGAACTGTGAGATCATTCGCCTGTGTTCTTTTAAGCCACTGTTGGTAGTAACCTGTCTCAGCAGCCATAGGAAACCAACACAGCAGCTGAGAGTTGCGGAGGAGTGGCTCCCTGCAATGGAGGCTCAGGGAGCCAGGGAGGGACCCGCAGGACACCCAGCTTTAAAATTCCACCAGGGCACCGGCCCGGTGGTGCAGCAGTTAAGTTTGCACGTTATGCTTCTCGGCGGCCCAGGGTTCACTGGTTCAGATCCCGGGTGTGGACAGGGCACCACTTGGCAAGCCATGCTGTGGTAGGCATCCCACGTATAAAGTAGAGGGAGATGGGCATGGATGTTAGCTCAGGGCCAGTCTTCCTCAGCAAAAAGAGGAGGATTGGCAGTAGTTCGCTCAGGGCTAATCTTCCTCAAAAAATAAAAATTCCACCAAGTCCAGAAGCACTGCAGCTGGAGCCAAGGAGGAACTTTCCAGTCCCTGTGCACCCCCCCTTCTTCCCCTAGTCTCAGTGCCAGAAAGGTCCTAAGACCTGTGGTTGGTGAGATGGGGGAGGCGGAGTAGATGGGGGAGAAGAAAAAGAAGTAGTCCCTCCCGCTTGCCACACGCAGGCCTCCGGAGCGGAAGCACAGCTGTAAGCCACATTCAAAGCTCTGAGCGTCCGGAGAGACTGACGCCTTAACTACTGGATTGAGGCTGTGTATACTTTCTGAGAGTGCCACTAAGGTCGCAGGGCACAAAGAGCACAGCCAGTCCGCTCCAAAGGGACAGTGGGGAGTGAAAATAAAGCCACAGCATGACCACGCCCGCAAGTGGAGCCTGCTCCCCAGATGTGGCACATCCTCAGTTTTCTGAGGAGCATCAGCTTCTCCAGCGGGGCCCAGGCACCTCCCAAAGTTAAAAACTGTTAACACAAAGGAAGAGGCCAAGGCTTGGGCTTGAGGGAGAGCTTGTATTCCAGCCAGTCAGGAAGTGGGGAGGGGATAACAAGAATCAGAGGGAAGGGCGAGAAGACAGGAAGGATGCGGTGTTCACCCAGCTCACCTGTTCATGCTCCACTGCCCTAGGATCCAGCGTCCCCCACGTCTCCATCGCTTCCTGTCACTCCAGACCTCCCACGGCCCTGGCTGAGGTGACCTCAGTGGCAGGAGGCCCCTGGCCTGGCTTCCACCCAGATACTGCTGGGGCAGCAGGAGGGGGTGTTTTGCTGAGAGAGCAACCCCTCAACAGGGAAGAGACGGGTGTTTGCATGAGTATGTGTGTGTGAAACACAAACCTAAGTGAAAAGAATGAGGGCAAGTGGGAGTGAGCTCGCCGACCACCGCGAGGTCTCCCTGCTCTTCGTCTGGTTCAGCTGCAGACAAAGAGGGAGGGGAGGAAAGCTGTGGGTGTCCACCACAGGCTGGCTTAAATGCGGCCAGGCCAGAGGGGGTCAGTGGGAAGCACCCGGCCTCCAGCAGGCCGAGCAGGGAGCGCTTCCTACTCCTCCCCAGCTGAGGGATGATGGGCAGACCCTGGCAGGCCCCACGGCTCCTACTGGCCATTCTGGTGGCCTTGGTGGCCTTTACCTGCCGAGCAAGGAAGAAAACCTTTTTCAGTGTCCAAGAAGTGCCTGCATCAGAAAGCTACGTGATAGCTACCATGCAGTTTGTGACAGAGGAGTTCAACAAGGAAAGTGATGACAAGTACAGCTTCCGGATTGTGCGAGTGCTGAAGGTCCAGAAATGGGTCAGTGTGGCTCCCCTCCCCCCTCCTCCCCATACCCCTCTGCCGGGATTCTGCTGCAGCTCTGGAGGAAGTCCACGCAGGTGAAATTCAGCCTCATTTAGTTCCAAGTGGGCATTTTAAGAAAAGCATAAATTCATTGGTTAGACGAAGTTGTCACTTAAATGATACCCAAGATCAGAGGTCAGCACATTACAGCCCAAGGGCCAAATCTGCCTGCTGCCTGCTTTTGTATGTAGTTTTCTTGGCACCCAGCCACATCACGTGTGTTCACGTGTGTTTCGCACTGCTCTGCTTTCACACGCTTTCTCAGATTTGAGTACTTTATTATCTGGCCCTTTGCAGACAAAGTTCACCGAGCCTTGTCCAAAAGAATTAGCATCATTTGGCTTATCCAGGGGCGACTTTGCCCACTGAGTGGTTTCTGGTGAATTCTCCTCGAAGGACAAAAGGAGGCATGGGAGCCAGATTGGAAGAGGAGAGAGGAGCCCTCCTAGCTGTCCAGGATGGGGTCCTTGACCTTGGGCACCGTGTAAAGGACTTCCCACCACCAGAAGCTACACAGAAGGGAGAAGAAGTCTTTTTATCCCCTTGCCACTTGCTTCCCACAGATTACTGACCATATGGAGTATCATGTGAACTTAGAGATGCGGCGGACCACCTGCCAGAAGCTGGAGACTGAAAACTGCACCTTTCAAGAAGGGGAGCTTTACAAGGTACCGGGTGAAAGTGCATTCACTCAGAAAGGATTCATTTTTCAGTGGGGTTTTCTCTGGTTTTAGGATAATATGAGGTAGGATTATTGGGGATATATTCAAGCTTGCTTGAAAAGAATGCGTGGATAACACCTCCTTTCTCCAAGCGGAAAGTGAAGGTGAAAGCGGCTGGCTCCTGCCTGGCAGACACTGCTCCTGTTGCTGAAAAAATTATAGGGAGGTTGGAAGTATCCAGAGAGAGGAGCCAAGTGGCTGAGCTGCAGTGGGCTGCTAATGTTTTAGCAGCCAGTGGGACCTCTCTGGTGCATCCAGCTGAATATCTGAAGATCAGTTTGATGAGAACATGCAATCACTGGGCTACCAACCTCTATTCCTTTCATCCAGCACTGTTTGGGCAAAGAGGAGGAAGAGACGAGAAAATGAGTTCAGACATAGCTCAACTGGTGGGCCGGGGGGAGAGGGGACAAACCTACATGTGTGCGACCTGCTGAGGAGCCACCTCCCCCAACAGTGGCTTAGTCCCCTATATGCTTTGTCCCCCCCTAGTATTGTCACACCTGAGGGAGGATGGCCAGACCACCATCACTGCAGTGTCATAGTCAGGGTGGGCCCACATGCAGAGGTGCCTTGAAGGTCTCAAATCCTACAGGCCCTACAAATCACTTCTCTTTAACCAAATGAATTAAAATGAAGATGTCCTCATTTTATGATTATATGTCCCACTTTGCTTGGAATAGTCCTGCTTCATGACTAGCTTCTTAGAGTAATCATTAGCAGCATCTCCATTTGCTTGCAATATATCTTGGTTCATAAATTACATGGTCACCCTAGTTAGAAGGCCTGGATATTCTCAACACAGAAATGTGTCCATCCATGGGCTCTCTCCTCACTTTTTACTCAGTAATTCTTCAAAATCTAGCAAGGTAGAATTTTTTAGTTCTTCCCTGGAGGAGATGATGAAATCTATGAAAAGCATACCTGAAGATAAAAGTAAAGTAAAAATAGACGATCTTATTGATGTGAGAGATGGAATTGGTGAAATCAGTATTCTGATTTCTATTTTAGGAAAAATATAAATTTTTCAGCCTCCCATCCCACCCTGCTCCCCACCCTAGGCTTTCAAATGCAGAGCAGGAAAACAAAATTGCACTAAGAAATGATAATTAATAATATGCAAAATGTGTTTATTGATTTCTCATTATGGGAGAAGAAGCCAGGGAAAAAGAAAAGGAAAATCTTGGGAGAGAATGGGGACAAGGGAAGGAGAGAGAGAATGTGATAAATGGACAAATGAAGGAAGGAAATATGGTGGAGACGGTTTAGAGGGTAGGTGGATGAATGGATGGGTGGATGGATGGATGGATGGACGGATGGATGGAGCCAGTAAGGGGAAGTGTGAAGTAAACAACACATGGGTAACAATGAAGAAGCAAAAGAAGCAGTAGTTCCCATGGTGACTACGGGTGGGGGGGACACTTTACTTCTAGGCTCCAATTCTGACCACAAACAGAGGGACATTTTCTGGGATGATCTCAGCCCTAATTCTATTAAGTGAAGGAAATAAAAATAAAGGTCAAAAACCACATCTAGACTGAAGGCATGTTGAGATAGTGTCATTTTCCCTATTCACATGCCTTCTATCCTCTTCTTTCTCTTTTAAATTTTCACCTTGCGTGTTGATCTTTCTTAAATATTGTTTTTGTTTTTTTGTTTGTTTGTTTTTTAGCAAATTGATTGCTTCTACACAGTGTATGTTGTTCCCTGGTTTGAAAAGTACAAAATTCTGACCAAAAACTGCACCAACGGCTAGGTGTCCTGGAGCATACACCTGCGGCCACCATATGTGAGAGTACCCTGCGATGAGCAGCGATTCTCAACATAGAAATAAATGTGTGTCAACCTGTTCTCTCAATGCTGTTAGTGTGTATGGTTCCACTCTTTTTTTTTCCCAAATTCATCAGCTTATAATAATATAATCTGAAGTTTCTCTGGGCCAGGGCAGCTTTGGCATCCAAATGAAGTGACGTGAATAATTTCTGGCCTCATAGCCTATACGTACATGACAGCAGAACTTCAACTCCATCCTTATATCTAGTAGGATTCTTTTGATTTTAAAACAAGAAGAAGAAGATGAGAAGAAGGAGAAGAAGGAGGAGGAAAGAAGCTCAAAGTCACTTAACTGAACAGCCAAGAGATATTTGCAAGTATGGCCTATGATGGCATCTCTGAGGGGCTCAGTGAAGAGTATCTCCTTCTTTGTCTAAAGTGCAAAACAGGGAGAAATAATATAAGTAATTTAAAAAGTTGAGGGCCAGGGCCAGCCTGGTGGCAAAGTAGTTAAGTTCACATACTCTGCTTTGGCAGCCCCAGGTTCGTGGGTTCAGATCCCAGGCTCAGACTTACACACCCCTCATCAGGCCATGCTGTGGCGGTGACCCACATACAAAATAGAGCAAGATTGGCACAGATGTTAGCTCAGGGCCAATCTTCCTCACCAAAAACAAAAACAGATGAGAGTCTTTGTTACTGATAAGGACTGGTTTGAGAGATGTGCCTTATCTTTGCTGACAAGTGCACTTTCTAATATCAAGTTCTAGAATTACATTTACATCCCCAGCATCAGCAACATTAGACCACAGCAGGTGCCTCACAGACAGATTCCTCTCCTTGGAGGTATCTAGCAAAATATATGCCCCATATGGAAAGGAGGACGACCTGGGTTACAGCACCCAGCTTGTTCTTCCCAAAGAGACCAACCAGATTAACTCCTCCAGGAGAAGACTGATTGAGGACAGAGAGGAACCAGGAACACTACGTTAATGGAGCCCCCTTCCATGAATGGCACATTAGCAGTGCAGAATAAGTATCCCACACACAACAGCTTGATTCAGGATTTCAAACAATGTCACCTGCCTCATCTCTCCACTCCATTTCCTCCATGTGGTCGCAAGGGGGTGCCGGCAACTCACCAGGTCACATCTGTCCTCATTCACATCCAGTAGGAGAGAAGCAGATCTTGTCCCCAAGAGCTCAAGCAAAAGCCCTGGGGTTTAAAATAGCTGGGGAGCCCTAGGGACACTGTGGAACACACACACACAGAACATTATTCTACCTGAAGAGAGAGGGAGCCGGGGTATTTATCCAACAGCTCCAGTCAGCTATTGGCTGCAGGGGCATTAATTCCCTGTAACCTCTATTCTGGGGTGGTTGGAGGGCAGAGCAAGCAGGCTGAGAAAAAGGGGGACAGGTGCTGGCATTTGAAACTGGTGTGCACAGAAGGATAAGATGTGAGAGGATATATACACAGCACCAAGAGGATACTCCTTGCACATGTGAATTGTGACCCGTGATGCATAGTAGCCACACCAAGTGTCTACCAGTGGAAAATAGCTGGGAGCTTGGAAAGAGTAAATTTTTTCCATCTCCTATTCTCCCTACCAAAGTTCTGGAGGGACCCTGTTTCAGGCAGGACCCAAGTGGGATTCCCCTCTGCCAACCATCTGGGAAAATGTTAACCTACAATTTCTTTATCTTTAACTGAAAATAACAGTACCTATTTCTTGGGGTAATTATAAAGGTTAATAATGATAATGCATGTAAATTGCTTAACATGGTGCCTAACACAAAGCAGATATTCAAGTAAATGTTAACAATTAGTAAGAATACTGGCAGTAGGCAGTACTATTCACAATAGCCAAGATGTGGAAGCAACCCAAGAGTCCATCAACTGATGAACGGGTGAATAACATGTGGTGTATATGTATACAGTGGAATACTACTCAGCCATTAAAAAAGATGTGTAGTCCTATTCACAACAACATGAATGGACCTTGAGGGTATTATGTTAAGTGAAATAAGCCAGACAGAGAAAGACAAACCCAGTATGATTTCACTCATATGTGGAAGATAAACTAATACACGGACATAGGGAACAGATTAGTGGTTACCAGAAGGGAAGGGGGTTGAGGGGTAAGCACATATATCTGTTGACTGACAAATAGTGATGTACAACTGAAATTTCACAATGTTGTAAACTGTTATGACCTCAATAAAATCAAATAAATTTAAAAAAAGAATACTGGCAGCAGCAGTAGTAATTTAATATTAATCAATGCTCTTCTGGTATGTTGGCTACTTTGTCTGGATGCAGGGATTATTATCCTGGCAGAGACTAAAGGTAAGGCAGAACATTTGTGCCCAATGATCTTATTTCTCAGCCCAGTGAGTTTTTAAATTTTTTTTATATTGAAATAATTGCAGATTCACAGGAAGTTACAAAGACAGTACGGAGAGGTCTCTTGTACCCTTCATCCAGTTTCCTCCCCCTTGATTGTATCTTATGTAATTATAGAGAGATATCACAACCAGGAAATTGACACTGGTACACTGAGTATATGTGTCATTCTGTCATATGTGTAGATTCATGTGACCACCACCACAATCAAGATACAGAACTATCCCATCACCACAAAGATACTCTGTACTACTCCGTAGTCACATTTCCCTCTCCCTGACCACTTCAAATTCCTGGCAACCACTGATTTATTCTCCATCTCTATAATTGTGCCAGTTTGAGAATGCTATATGAATGCAATTGTACAGTACATGACCTTTGAGATTTGTCATAATGCCCTTAGGCTCCATCCAAGTTGTTTCACGTATCAGTAGTTTGTTCCTTTTAATTGCTATGTAGGATTCCATGGTCTATTATGGTACCACAGATTGTTTAACTATTTACCTATTTTAGGATGTAATTTTTGTTTTCAAGTGTTGGGCTATTACAAATAAAACTTTATGAACAATCATGTACAGGTTTTTGTGTGGACACAAATTTTCATTTCTCTGGGTTAAATGCCCAGGAGTGCAATTGCTGCATTACATAGTAAAGACTATTTTAGGGTTTTTTAAAAAAACCGTCAAACTATTTTCCAGAGTGGATGTATCACTATATACGTCCTTCTCTATCTTTGGTAATTTTCTTTGTTCTGAGGTCTACTTTGTCTGATGTTAATATACCCTCCTTTACTTTCTTTTGATTAATGTTTGTATAATATAACTTTTTTCACCCTTTTACTTTCAACCTACCTATATCATTATATTTGAAGTTTCTTGTAGACAGCATATAGATGGGTTAAGTTTTTTTAAATCCACTCTACCAAACTCTATCTTTTAATTGGCTTGTTTAGACCATTTATATGTAGTTTGAAATGCCATTTAATGTAATTATTGGTATGTTAGGGCTTAAGTCTGTCATTTTACTTCTTATCCTCTGTTTGTTCTTCCTGCTTTTTTTTCTGTGGGACTTATTTATTCTTCCTTCCTGTGAATTACTTGAACACTCTTTAAAGAATTTCATTTTTATGTATCTGTACTGTTTTTGAGTGTGTCTCTTTGCATAGCCTTTTTAGTGGTTGCTCTAGATATTACATTATATATGCATAACTTGATGGGCTACTAGTGTCAGTATTTTACCAGTTTGAATGAAATGTGAAAAGTTTACCTCCCTTTACATCCTTTTATCATTCTTAATTTACAAATGTCTTAAATATTTCTTCTATGTACATTGAAAACATCAGACAATGATATAATTTTTGCTTTAACCATCAAACGTAATTTAGAAAACTCAAGAAAAAGAAAGCCTCCTGTATTTACCCATATTTTTACTTTTTAAACTCTTCCTTTCTGATGTTCCAAGATTTCTTCATATATAAGGTCCTTTCTATTTAGAGAAATTCTTTAACTATTCTTTTAGAGTAGGTCTTCTGGTGCAAATTCTCTTAGCTTCCCTTCATCTAAGACTTGCTTGATTTCCCCTTCATTCCTGATGGCTATTTTTGATGGCTATAGGATTCTGGGTTGACAGGGTTTTTTTCCCCTACATCACCTGAAAAATGTGCCACTCTGGCCTGAGTGGTTTTTGATCTGCTGTCATTACAATTGGAGTTTTTTTCCCCCTAAGGGTAAGTTGTCTTCTCTTTCACGTTTTCTTCTTTGTCTTTAATTTCCAGAAGTTTGACTCTGATGTGTCTTGGTGTGGATTTCTTTGGGTTTATCCTATTTAGGATTCACTCTGTTTCTTGAATCTATAGGTTTAGGTCTTTGGCCAAATTTGGGAACTTCTCAACCATTATTTCTTCAAATCGTTTTTTTAGCCCCTCTGTCTCCTCTCCTTCTGGGACTTCAGTGTGTTAGATCTTTTGTAATAGTCTCACAAATCTCTGAGGCTCTATTCATATATTTAGTTGACTCTCTCTCTGCTGTTCAGATTGTGTAGTTCCTATTGTTTTCTCTTCCAGTTTTCCTTCCATCCACTGGTGAGCCCAACCATTGAATTTTTTAGTTACTATATTTTTCAATTCTAAAATTTCCATTTCTTTCTTCTATTTCTTTGTGAGATTTGTTACATCTTTGCTGAGACTTTCTCTTTGCTCACTTGTTTGAGGCATGTTCATAATTGCTCATTGCAGCATTCTTATGACTGCTTTATAATGCTTGTTATGATATCATGATTGTAAGAAATATATATATTTAGTCATTAAGGTGGCCAAAATATGTTTCGCAGATATATTTGATCTTCATCCACAGTTCCTGGCTCATAGCTTCCAAAACCCTTAGAATTTCCAGAGTGGTAAGAGCAATGGGAGCATCTTCTATTATAATGTTTGGTCTCTTGTCCTCACTTCCTAAAAATGCTTCAAGGCGATATAGATAAAACGGGGGTCTTGTTTATGTAAATGAAGGTAACTTTTGGACCCCACCCAAGGGTGGGGGCTGGTTGCCAGGAGAACCAGCCAAGAGATCAGAGGATTGGAACTTTCAGTCCTACCCTGATTTCTGGGTAGGGCAGGGGGCTTGAGCTTGAATCAATTGCCAATGGCCAATGATTTAGTCAATTATGACTATGTAATGAAGCCTCCATAAAAATCTGAAGGACAGCTCGTTGGCCTTTTGTTTTTTTGGAGAGCTTCCACATTGTGGAACCAGAATGCTTCCATGTGCCACCATGCCAGGCCTCCGGCTATGTGAGGACAGAAGCTTCTTTGTTCAGGACCTCCCCCATGTATCTCTTCACCTGACTGTTAATCTGTATCCTGTAATATCCTTTGTAATAAATTGGTAATCTGGTGAGTAAACAGGTTTTCTTGAGTTCTGTGAGCTGTTCTAGAAAATTAATCAAACCTGAGGACAGGGTCATGGGA